TTGAGGGGCGGGGAGGGGGGTGGAGGATGGGGTCATTCCCGAGACAGGGTGGAGCCTCTGTGCCCCCCGCCCCCCATGGGGCCTCTTCTCCCCCTGGGCCGCCTTCTGGGCGCCTTCCTTGTCCCAGGACATGGGCCCTGCTGTTGCCCCCCCCCCCCCCCCCCCCCCCCGTAACCTGATCATCAACCGTTCAGAGGCCGTGCCCCATTCCTTCCCCCTGGTCCTAACTTCCTAGCAGCCTCTTTGGCCAAGAACAACCCGTTTCCCCTCCATCCCGTCCCCTTCCTCCTCCTTCCCTCCTCCACCCTGAGCTTCCGGCTCCCTGCCTGGGAGGGACTCTTCTCTCCACAGTCCCTACCCCCCTCCAGGAAGGGGCTGCCTGACGGGGGCATTAGGGTGAGGTCAGCTCCACCTCCACCACCAGGGGCGAGCCGGGCAGCGGTCAGGCCTTCCTCCCACCCTGGTCAGCGGTCCAGCCTTCCTCCCATCCTGGTCAGCGGTCAGGCCTTCCTTCCATCCTGGTCAGCGGTCAGGCCTTCCTCCCATCCTGGTGAGCGGTCAGGCCTTCTTTCCATCCTGGTCAGCGGTCAGGCCTTCCTCCCATCCTGGTCAGCGGTCAGGCCTTCCTTCCATCCTGGTCAGCGGTCAGGCCTTCTTTCCATCCTGGTCAGCGGTCAGGCCTTCCTCCCATCCTGGTCAGCGGTCAGGCCTTCCTCCCATCCTGGTCAGCGGTCAGGCCTTCCTCCCATCCTGGTCAGCGGTCAGGCCTTCCTTCCATCCTGGTCAGAGGTCAGGCCTTCTTTCCATCCTGGTCAGCGGTCAGGCCTTCCTTCCATCCTGGTCAGCGGTCAGGCCTTCTTTCCATCCTGGTCAGCGGTCAGGCCTTCCTTCCATCCTGGTCAGCGGTCAGGCCTTCTTTCCATCCTGGTCAGCGGTCAGCCTTCCTTCCATCCTGGTCAGCGGTCAGGCCTTCCTCCCATCCTGGTCAGCGGTCAGGCCTTCCTTCCATCCTGGTCAGCGGTCAGGCCTTCCTCCCCATCCTGGTCAGCGGTCAGGCCTTCTTTCCATCCTGGTCAGCGGTCAGGCCTTCTTTCCATCCTGGTCAGCGGTCAGGCCTTCTTTCCATCCTGGTCAGCGGTCAGGCCTTCCTCCCCATCCTGGTCAGCGGTCAGGCCTTCTTTCCATCCTGGTCAGCAGTCAGGCCTTCTTTCCATCCTGGTCAGCGGTCAGGCCTTCCTCCCATCCTGGTCAGCGGTCAGGCCTTCTTTCCATCCTGGTCAGCGGTCAGGCCTTCCTTACATCCTGGTCAGCGGTCAGGCCTTCCTTCCATCCTGGTCAGCGGTCAGGCCTTCTTTCCATCCTGGTCAGCGGTCAGGCCTTCCTTCCATCCTGGTCAGCGGTCAGGCCTTCCTCCCATCCTGGTCAGCGGTCAGGCCTTCCTCCCATCCTGGTCAGCGGTCAGGCCTTCTTTCCATCCTGGTCAGCGGTCAGGCCTTCCTCCCATCCTGGTCAGCGGTCAGGCCTTCTTTCCATCCTGGTCAGCGGTCAGGCCTTCCTCCCATCCTGGTCAGCGGTCAGCCTTCCTTCCATCCTGGTCAGCGGTCAGGCCTTCTTTCCATCCTGGTCAGCGGTCAGGCCTTCCTTCCATCCTGGTCAGCGGTCAGGCCTTCCTTCCATCCTGGTCAGCGGTCAGGCCTTCTTTCCATCCTGGTCAGCGGTCAGGCCTTCCTCCCCATCCTGGTCAGCGGTCAGGCCTTCTTTCCATCCTGGTCAGCGGTCAGGCCTTCCTCCCCATCCTGGTCAGCGGTCAGGCCTTCTTTCCATCCTGGTCAGCGGTCAGGCCTTCTTTCCATCCTGGTCAGCGGTCAGGCCTTCCTCCCCATCCTGGTCAGCGGTCAGGCCTTCTTTCCATCCTGGTCAGCGGTCAGGCCTTCCTCCCCATCCTGGTCAGCGGTCAGGCCTTCTTTCCATCCTGGTCAGCGGTCAGGCCTTCTTTCCATCCTGGTCAGCGGTCAGGCCTTCTTTCCATCCTGGTCAGCGGTCAGGCCTTCTTTCCATCCTGGTCAGCGGTCAGGCCTTCCTCCCCATCCTGGTCAGCGGTCAGGCCTTCTTTCCATCCTGGTCAGCGGTCAGGCCTTCTTTCCATCCTGGTCAGCGGTCAGGCCTTCTTTCCATCCTGGTCAGCGGTCAGGCCTTCTTTCCATCCTGGTCAGCGGTCAGGCCTTCCTCCCATCCTGGTCAGCGGTCAGGCCTTCTTCCATCCTGGTCAGCGGTCAGGCCTTCTTTCCATCCTGGTCAGCGGTCAGGCCTTCTTTCCATCCTGGTCAGCGGTCCGGCCTTCCTTCCATCCTGGTCAGCGGTCAGGCCTTCCTTCCATCCTGGTCAGCGGTCAGGCCTTCCTTCCATCCTGGTCAGCGGTCAGGCCTTCTTTCCATCCTGGTCAGCGGTCAGGCCTTCCTCCCATCCTGGTCAGCGGTCAGGCCTTCCTCCCATCCTGGTCAGCGGTCAGGCCTTCCTCCCACCCCGGTCAGCGGTCAGGCCTTCCTCCCATCCTGGTCAGCGGTCAGGCCTTCCTTCCATCCTGGTCAGCGGTCAGGCCTTCTTTCCATCCTGGTCAGCGGTCAGGCCTTCCTTCCATCCTGGTCAGCGGTCAGGCCTTCTTTCCATCCTGGTCAGCGGTCAGGCCTTCTTTCCATCCTGGTCAGCGGTCAGGCCTTCCTCCCATCCTGGTCAGCGGTCAGGCCTTCCTTCCATCCTGGTCAGCGGTCAGGCCTTCTTTCCATCCTGGTCAGCGGTCAGGCCTTCTTTCCATCCTGGTCAGTGGTCTGGCCTTCCTCCCATCCTGGTCAGCGGTCAGCCCTTCCTCCCATCCTGGTCAGCGGTCAGGCCTTCCTCCCATCCTGGTCAGCGGTCAGGCCTTCCTCCCATCCTGGTCAGCGGTCAGGCCTTCCTCCCATCCTGGTCAGCGGTCAGGCCTTCCTCCCATCCTGGTCAGCGGTCAGGCCTTCCTCCCATCCTGGTCAGCGGTCAGGCCTTCCTCCCATCCTGGTCAGGGCACATGCCCGGGTTGTGGGCTCCATCCCCCCGTGGGGCGTGCAGGAGGCAGCCGATCCACGATTCTCTCTCATCATCAACGTTTCTGTGTCTCCCTCTCCCTCCCTCTCTGAGGTCAATACTAATATATTTTCGAAAACAGGATTTTGGAGCCTGTTTCCTAGAGTCGGGAGGATAGCGTCCTCCCCTTTTCAGGACCGTCGGGGGGAGGAGAGGAGCGAAGCCCAGGGCTGGGGTGTCCTCCCTGGGGAGCGAGGCGCACGGTCCTCAGAGGCCACGCGCTCACCTTCCTCCCGCCAGGAGCTCGGGGCGGTCGGGCGGTCGTGTGGTCATGGCCGGCCTCTTCCAGGAGCCCAGGCGCACGGGTAGCAGGAGGGTAACCAGCCCAGAAACGGGGGAGGGTAACCAGCCCAGAAACGGGGGAGGGTAACCAGCCCAGAAACGGGGGAGGGTAACCAGCCCAGAAACGGGGGAGGGTAACCAGCCCAGAAACGGGGGAGGGTAACCAGCCCAGAAACGGGGGAGCCGGGCTCGCTCTGCGTCCCCCCAGGGGCGGGTGGGTTACGGGAATGCAGTGGGCGGGACGGAGTGACTTCCAAAGGGTTGCCTCTTCCTCCTTTGCTACCTCTTCCCGCGACCGATGTCTCCCCCTCCGCGTCCTCCATGTTCAGTCTCCCGCCGACAGCGCCTGCTCACGTGGGTCCTCAGGCCGCCCGCCCGCCCGCCTGGGGTCACTCCGGTGGTTGTACCCCTCTCGGCAGCCGAGTCTGCGACCTCATGTCTCACGGCCGTGCCTCCCCCAGCTCGCTCTGAAACACGGGCCTCCTTCGCGCCTTTGTGGGGCTCCCGGTCCTGCCCGGGGAACAGGTTTCATTTGCTGGGACAAGCGGGGGTGGGGGGGAACGGGGGGGCGGGGGGGCCTCCCTGACAGAAACGTGCTGCTTGGGGGTCAGGGTTCCCGGGATGGCAGCCTGGGCTGTGCTGGCTCCTGTGTGTGTGTGTGTGTGTGTGTGTACGCGCGCACGTGTGTGTGAGCATGTGTGTGAGAGAGTGTGTGTGTGCGTGTGCGTGTGTGTGCGTGTGCGTGTGCGTGTGTGTGAGCGTGAGCACCGTATATGCTCGAATAGAAGGTCAGGATTATAATGTGCCCCGGTGTCCTCAGCAAAGAGGGCGTGCCCCACAGGGAACTGGGGACGTGTCTGCGTGGATGGGGCACAGTGTCAGTTACTTTATTTTCAACAACAAAGTGGGAGCCGGAGAAGACACGTCAACCTGACTTACCGTCACCGGCCAGTTTGGACTCCACACATAGAAGTCAAGTGTTATCTGTGTTCAGTTTCCTAAAATAATATGTTTCAATTGATTTTTCGAGAGAGAGGAAGGGAGAGGGAGAGAGAGAGAAACATCAATGATGAGAGAGAACCGTGGATCCGCTGCCTCCTGCACGCCCCCACTGGGGATCGAGCCGCAACCCAGGCCTGTGCCCTGACCGGGAAGGGAACCGTGG